GTTAATATATGTATAATTACATAGAGCACACATTTCTTATACCCCTCCGGTATTATGCCTAGGAGAAAAATTTCTGGTTTGAACAAACTTTGATCTCCCACCATTTCTTCCAGCCATGATTGCATCATTTTCCAATATCTTTTTGTCTCATTGCATGTCCAGCACATATGGAAAAAGGTGCCTGGTGTTTTTTTGCACTTCCAACAATTTGGGGCCAAAGTTTTAAACATTTTGGAGAGCCATGCTGGGGAAAGATGCCATCTATAGAACATCTTGTACCTATTTTCCTTATAAGCCGTGGTCATTGTTAGTTTCCGATTAAGTGTCCAAAGTCTTTCCCATTTATCCAATTCCACACTGTAACCAAATTTTTCGCCCATGCGACCATAGTTTCTTTAACATGTTCTTCCTCAAGTTTATATTTCAGCAGATATCTGTACAATGCTTTGATCAACCTGTCTTCTGTCTCTATCAGGAGCTTATCTAATATTGTGTATTCTTTGGCAATGCCTTCCTTTTTCCTATCCTGATTACAATAGGACTTAGTTTTAAGCAATGATGCATTACATATATGCCATCATACTTGAGATACTGAAAACATACTAGGTAAGATTTAACAAGTCTTGTTTTGGTGAAGGAATGTAAATGTTAGCCACATAAGGAATAGTTAAATACATTTCATCACAAGGGGTACATCTAGAGTGGTGGTCTTATCTCCAGATACAATCAGGATAGGAAAAAGGAAGGCATTGCCAAAGAATACACAATATTAGATAAGCTCCTGATAGAGACAGAAGATAAGTTGATCGAAGCGTTGTACAGATATCTGCTGGAATATAAACTTGAGGAAGAAAATGTTAAAGAAACTATGGTCGCCTGAGCGAACATTTTTGGTTACAATGTGGAATTGACTAAATGGGACTTTGGATACTTAATTGGAAACTAACAATGGCCAGGCTTATAAGGAAAATCTGTACAAGATGTACAGAAGGCGTCTTCCCCCAGCACAGCTCTCCAAAATGTTTAAAAATTTGGCCCCAAATTGTTAGAAGTGCAAAAAACGCCAGGCACCTTTTTCTGTACTTGATGGACATGCAACGAGGCAAAAAGATATTGGAAAATGATACAATCATGTCTGGAACAAATAGTGGGAGATCAAATTTTGTTCAAACCAGAAAATTTTCTCCTAGGCATAATACCGGAAGAGTATAAGAAAGATGTGCTCTATCTAATTATACATGTATTAACTGCAGTGTGAATAACCTATTCGCAGTATTGGAAAAAAGAAAATATCCCATTAGTGTTAGACATAATTAGGAAAATGTTGGCCTATGAGAAAGCAGATAGGCTCACCCTCGAATTAAAAAATAAAGGGGAATCTGAATATTATGAAATTTGGAATATATTTTATTATTGATATAAGACAGGTGTCAAGATTGGAACAAATTGTAAATAATGTGATTAGATAGAAGGATAGATAATGTATTAAATGGGCTGACAGCTAATGGATGAGATTATCTGTATATAATGTGATTGTATGGCCGTAACGGCTGTGCTGTGCTGCACTATTTTAAATGTAAAAACAATAAAAATATTTTTTAAAATTTTGTTACTACTGGTTCTGTGGGCGTGGCTTGGTGGGTGTGACGTGGCTTGGTGGGAATGGCTTGGTGGGTGTGGCAGGGAAAGGATAAAATCTCCATTCCCTCCCCATTCCAGGGGAAGATTACTGCAAAATCCCATTCCTTCCCAATCAGCTGGGACTCGGAAGGCAGCAAATAGATGGGGACGGGGCCAGTCAGAGGTGGTATTTATCGGTTCTCCAGACTACTCAAAATTTCAGGAAACCGATTCTCCAGAACTGGTCAGAACCTGCTGAATACCATCTCTGAATTTTACTGATTACAATAGGACTTAGTTGATGCATTACATATGTGCCACCATACTTGAGATACTGAAAACATACTAGGTAAGATTTAACAAGTCTTGTTTTGGTGTAGGAATGTAAATGTTAGCCACATAAGGAATAGTTAAATACATTTCTGTGATCCATAGCCTTTAT